CTATGTAGTCACAACCAGCTGCAATACACATATTATTAAACTTTTCCTTGGTTAATTTTAGATCTGTTAATTTTTTTTCCATTTCCATCAACTTACCCATACCATTTGTTTGTAGCTTAAATACCACCTGAACTATATGACATGTATACTGTAGTCCACGTTGCTGCAAAATGCCTTACTACGGATGTAATAATACAGATAGTGTCTCACACAAATAGTGTACAACATTATACCTGGGCATTCACCAACTCAATGTTGAAAATAATAGTTCTGTGTAAATTTTACCCCACACAGGCCAGCCCATATTTAAAAGCAGGACACCCATGTCAGTAGTTTCACACAGTGTATTAATTATGTTATGGTATGAACTACTTTGCATATATATTTGAACAGCCAGGCTGACCTGGTTCCCAATCTGATAAAACTTTCTCCCTATAAACACAAACTTGGCTGGCGTTGATGGAAGTTCTAAGAATGCTGCTGTGAGTTATGTAGAAAAACTGTTAAAACACTGTAAACCCACTACACTGCACTTGTGCTGTTTATAATTAAAGCATATACAATCACAATAAATTTGTTATTCATATATTTTATAACTCTTCATTGAACAATGTTTTACTAAATCTACACCTGCATACATGACCACCATCATCGACATGCAAACAAAATCATCCCATTTTATACAACAATTATTATACAACAACATGCTAGAATCCATGTATTAACATATACCTTTTCACACTGATATAGAGCATTTGCACATGACATCACAAGGCCTACTTTGGGGGCCAAGGTCGCCTAATGTCGCCTAATTTCGCATAATGTCGCCTAATTTCGCCCACTCTCGCCCATGTGCACCCGATTTTTGAACTTAGCCTGACAGTCTATTCGCTTAATGTCGCCTAATTTCGCTTAATTTCGCCTAATGTCTCATAATCTCGCACAAGCATGCCCAATTTTGCACTTTGAGTTTGTCGTCCATACTAGTCTATTCCTTATTTATTTGTTAGTTTCCTGCATGTTTTTTTTCATAAATACATGTACACAAACACCAAGGGCATGTACTGTTAGGGCACCATCTCTCACCAGTATTAATGAGGCTTGGTTATTTGGCGTTTATATGTATATGAATTACAACACATTATTCCAATGAGAATTACCTAAATTATGTTGTTAAGGCAGCCTTCTGGCTATCTTCTCCAATGTGTTTCTTTGTGAAACTCAGTCAAATTAGTCAATCACACGCCATTAAATGTTGTATATGAAATCAAACTTAGATCTTATTATCAAAGATACATTCATGATAACTGGTGAGTGCAAAAGTACAGAATACCTCTCACTAGTCTAGTGAAGTACACTAAGTATCCTAAAGGCCGAAACGGTACCGTTTATAGTCTATATATATATATATATATACAGGGTGTATAAAAAAAAAACTGAACAGATTTGAAATTGCTCTCAATTTCGCAAAACACCTATTTGTATCTGTTTTTTATATAGATAGCTTCTTTAGGTACTTATAATGTAAAATATCGAAAAAAAATTCTCGATCTCAAATTTTGTGAACCAGGGTGGTGTGCCTTTTGCAACAAACTAAAAATGGCTCGCGCACAAAATTTAAAAGCTGTAATCATATTTTGAGTTAAAAGATTGAAAATTGTCGGGTTTTTAATTACCGTACGAAATTTCAGACAATTTGGTTTAGTTTAAGCCCTTTAACTATTCATTTTGTTCTAAAAAGTCAGCCTTTCGCATGCTTAATTAATGCCTTTATCTAATTTGCATATTGCTGACATATTTTGCTTCGGTAAATGAGCTCACGAGTGGAGGAATGCTATCGTATGTTAATCTTTGTTTTTAATTTTGCATATATCTAGAAAAGGGTACGTATGTGATATTGCTCTCGGAGAACTCCATCCTTTATATATTACCTGAGAGACATAAAATATGTATTTATTTTACTTCCTATCACCTTATAAGATATTCTAGTAATTTCTAGGTCATTGCTGTAGCTTTCAGCATTCAGTCAAAAGTATTTGACTTATTCATTTACGTATTTCCTGATATTGTTTGAACAATATGGCGACAAGGAGATGAGTTGCGTTGAGACATATTGTTGGATAATTGAAACATAACAGGTAACATTTCATGTGCCGTCACCTTAAATAAGCGTACGAATGTGTGTATTCCTTCCTTTAAGTGCCCATCCAGGGTCACAAGGCCTGGACATTTGCTTCGGTAAATGAGCTCACGAGTGGAGGAATGCTATCGTATGTTAATCTTTGTTTTTAATTTTGCATATATCTAGAAAAGGGTACGTATGTGATATTGCTCTCGGAGAACTCCATCCTTTATATATTACCTGAGAGACATAAAATATGTATTTATTTTACTTCCTATCACCATATATATATATATATATATATATATATATATATATATATATATATATATATATATATATATATATATATATATATATATATATATATAATTACTATAAAGAAAGAAAGTCATCTATAGTATGTTCAAAATGGGCTATTCCATTTAATATCCGTACCTCCCTTGTCGAGGATACATGTTTTTCATTGTCATACACCTGAAGAATTCCAAGCTCAAAACTGTTTACCCCTGAAGAATTCCAAAATTCCAAGCTCAAAACTCTTTACCCCTGAAGAATTCCAAGCTCAAAACCTTTTACCCCTGAAGAATTCCAAGCTCAAAACCCTTCACCCCTGAAGAATTCCAAGCTCTGAAAAATTTCAATCTCAAACCTCTTCACCCCTGAAGAATTCCAAGCTCAAAACCCTTTACCCCTGAAGAATTCCAAGCTCAAAACCTTTTACCCCTGAAGAATTCCAAGCTCAAAACCCTTCACCCCTAAAGAATTCCAAGCTCAAAACCCTTTACCCCTGAAGAATTTCAAGCTCAAAACCTTTTACCCCTGAAGAATTCCAAAATTCCAAGCTCAAAACCCTTTACCCCTGAAGAATTCCAAGCCCAAAACCTTTTACCCCTGAAGAATTCCAAGCTCAAAACCCTTCACCCCTAAAGAATTCCAAGCTCAAAACCCTTTACCCCTGAAGAATTTCAATCTCAAAACCTTCTACCCCTGAAGAATTCCAAGCTCAAAACCATTTACCCCAGAAGAATTACAAACTCAAAACACTTTACCCCTGAAGAATTCCAAGCTCAAAACCTTTTACCCCTGAAGAATTCCAAGCTCAAAACCCTTTACCCCTGAAGAATTCCAAGCTCAAAACCCTTTACCCCTAAAGAATTCCAAGCTCAAAACCCTTTACCCCTGAAGAATTTCAAGCTCAAAACCTTTTACCCCAGAAGAATTCCAAGCTCAAAACCCTTCACCCCTGAAGAATTCCAAGCTCTGAAAAATTTCAATCTCAAACCTCTTTACCCCTGAAGAATTCCAAGCTCAAAACCCTTTACCCCTGAAGAATTCCAAGCTCAAAACCATTTACCCCAGAAGAATTCCAAACTCAAAACACTTTACCCCTGAAGAATTCCAAGCTCAAAACCTTTTACCCCTGAAGAATTCCAAGCTCAAAACCCTTTACCCCTGAAGAATTCCAAGCTCAAAACCCTTCACCCCTAAAGAATTCCAAGCTCAAAACCCTTTATCCCTGAAGAATTTCAATCTCAAAACCTTCTATCCCTGAAGAATTCAAAGCTCAAAACCCTTCACCCCTGAAGAATTCCAAGCGCTGAAAAATTTCAATCTCAAACCTCTTTACCCTGAAGAATTCCAAGCTCAAAACACTTTACCCCTGAAGAATTCCAAGCTCAAAACCATTTACCCCAGAAGAATTCCAAACTCAAAACACTTTACCCCTGAAGAATTCCAAGCTCAAAACCCTTTACCCCTGAAGAATTCCAGGGATCCTCGACAGGGGGGGGGGGGGGGTACGGATATTAAATGGAATAGCCCAATACGACTTTGTAGTTTGTAAAATAAAAGTACTTACTTTTTGACGAAGCTACGATGATCGACATCTCATAATTAGGTATCATCGCAAAAGATACAGAGCAATGAACGCACCACAGAAAGATCTACGGTACAGGTTGTTTATATAAAATGTCGCCAAGGCCCGCCATAACAATTATTATGCTTCCTTACACGAAGTAGTACAAGCTAAACCATTAAATTAGACGTGCCGTGGTATTGCGGGCTCAAATCCCAGCCGAAAAAGAACAGGTCTCTGAGGTTTTGGTAAAAGGAATTTAATTATTTATTAGTTAAGTTAAAGTAAAGGAACTGTTATCTAATTTTAGTAAAGTTAGTCAGTATAGTTATACAAATGTATATGGATTAAACTTTTTTCTATATGTTTGCTTTGAAAGTAAGTTCCATTTTTTGTTGAAACTATAAGATTTATATTATCACTATTTGAGATATTTGTTTGCCAGTTCGGTGGGTTAGATTTCAAGTATGGTTATGGTGGTACATGATTTACATTGTACACGCTTATGATAGCTAGTTAGCTAGCTGACAATTTATTTACCTTAAATGCCAATTCTTTCACTTCCATCACTGCATACCACAGTCCATAAACAGGTTTTAAAACTCTATGAGGTGTTTACACCAGTCAATTTAATAAGAAGTCAGAGTTCCATGATACTGTAAATGTACCATGCACTGGGCATGTATGTGTACTACGGTATAAACTTTGAGTAAATTGTCAGGCTAGCAGTTATGCATGAGTCAATTCCTGGAGTAACCATCCTCCCCCCGGGACACCCCCGGGAATTTGCCCGATAGACAGTTCACAGGTGTCGGGAATTTGCCTTTCATATATGTACACGGGGGCCGGGTATTGGAGGACCCAGGGGATTTGACAAATGGTTGCCCAGAATCCCACCCACAAATTTTAGGGCAGCAAAACATAGTTTCAGGCAAGCATGTGGACGCGCTGATCGTATTTTGCGCCCTCGTGGTCAAGGTGGCGTGAAATTTATTGTAAGAATAAGCGAAAATTATACCCTGTGCCATGCAAATTTAAATACAACTATTAAAGGTTTATGTTTTATAATATTCCATAGCAGTTTAATACTATAATGTTATTAAATGACTATAATTATATGCCATTAAAAGTTTAATTAACGTTTACAGTCGATTTCACGAAACTTTGACCACAAATATTCCGAACTTCGTTGCGAAGTTCACAAGATTGTTGCGAAGTTCAAAAGTTATAATGAGATTCACAAACCAGTTCGTACACTGCGCATTTGATTGGCTTCTTTTAGTTCACGGACCAATCAAGGACTTTGTTTACAAATTGGCTTGTGAATTCCAATATGAACTTCCGAACTTCGCAACGAACTTGCGAACTTCGCAACGAAGTTCGGAACATTTGTGGTCAAAGTTTCGTGAAATCGACTGTAAAATCGTCCCCCGGGTGGGGCATTTTCCACTCTCAGCTTGCCCAGGGGCCTTGCATTAGTCTTCAAGTTGTGTCCCGGCACCCGGGCATTTACACTATCATAACCAATCAAATCAAATGCCCGGGTGTGTTCCCGGGGGGGGATGGTTACTCCTGGAATTGACTCATGCATTAGTGAAATGTTCCTTGTTATTTTTGCTATTTGTAATAAACTAATTGTGTTCTTTGCCACAGGAACCAATTTTTGATAACTAAATTATATTTGGATATTTACTGTCAGTTGTATTTTCTATGTAGATGCATAATTTGTGAATTATAATATTTGACGTTATCTGGATATTACTGTTCAGTTTTGTCCAATGTCGCCCAATGTCGCCCAATGTCGCCCAATGTCGCCCAATGTCGCCCAATGTCGCTCAATGTCGCCCAGTTTCGCCCAGCGACGCACACTACTTTTCTTTGAAAATTGCCAATGTCGCCTAATGTCGCACAATGTTGCACATAATAACGGCGACCTTGCCCCCCAAAGTAGGCCTATCACAGCCGCCATGTTGGTGTTCCAATTCAAAATAATTTTAATTAGACTCTTTTGTCTGGAACACCAACATGGCCGCCATGGCTTTTGTTGAGTTGGTCCGTGGGGAATGAGTGCAAATGCTCTATACAAGCAGGTCTGAATCTTCAGGCACTGCAAAACCACAGCCTCGAATCAAAGCGCCTGGGGACAAGGCTGGCAAAACCAGCATATCCATTATTCACAATAAATGCAATTTGTGCATCTGCTTCATATGGTGCCATTATGTACTGAATATCTTTTTCACAGCAAAACTGAAAGGTGGATAATAACAAATTGTTATTTACTGCACACAACTACTTTCCAATTTTCTCTATAATTTTTTTATGCATTTGTACATAAAAAGGGTTCCATTGAAAAATGGGAATTTGAATTTTGCAAAACAAATTGATCAAATGTCTGATTAGCAATGCATTGGCATGGATTATAAATTGTTGTGACATTCCCGTGCACCAATAAAATGTAAAGTCTATGGGCAAGTGTGTGAGGATTTTGAATTTGTTTTTAAATTTTGGGTAAATTCTGGTGAGTGGAATGCATACAAAGTTGAAAACTAGATGTGAAAACTAGTATGTGGTTCAATTTAAACCACATCATTTTTCTTACTCTCCATATTATATTGTTATGCAAAGTGTTTTTCTGCCACCTGCAAATTGTCATTGCCATGACCTTTTATTACTTAGGTGCTATTTATATGACCTTGGATACTAGAGACACCCATTCCACCCGAGACAACTTGATATTGTGAGATTGTGACTCCTGGAAACATGCAGTTATTTGTTTGAAGGCCTGGGAATGAAAAGTTATCCCTGGAGGCCGAGACAAAGTATTTACATGGATAAAAGTTGTCCCTCCTACAAGGGTAACCCTGTTTTGTAAACCGGGTGTCCCCACTTGCCAAGGTGACCCTATACCAGCCGAGACGAGTTGAAAACTTTCCATATAAACACTTGCGTTTAAATGTTATATAATGAATATAATTTTGCCTCTCCCAGGGTAGCTCGGAGGGTAGAGAGTGTCCCTAGTACCCGAGATCATATAAACAGCACATCAGTCACATTATTATCCCCTACCCGTCGACATTTCCTTTCATGCATTATATTTACAATATTTGTGATACCAAAAATTGAATTGGCATGGCATATAAAATATGTGAAGATTATTATCTTCATCCCATAGTTTTTAGGTAAGATAGTGTGTAGTCAAACTATAGAAATTGTGACCTATGATGGCATTGGAAGTACTAAAATGATTGGCAAATTCTAAGCATAACTAAAATTACATGGAATTTTACAGATACTATACTGAGCATATAACTGGCTTGTATATTGCATTAAACAATATAATATAGCAGAAAAATTTCCGTGTCTAATCCATGCATACTTTTACCGTACGTTCACAACCCTGAACAAATTTGCATAATAATTATAATAACAATACAGTCATAAGAACAATAAAGTAAATAGAATATACATAAGTTTAGCGATTGAAACACTGCACAAATTGATATAAAGTATAAACATATATTATAAATATAAAATTAAAACAAACATACTTGCGATCATCGCCAAACCTTTGAAACTCACAGCCAACGATTTGGCAGCCAGCAGGATACATCGACTGCCCAAACTTTTCCAGAAGTTCCTTGACATGTACTGCCACTGTTGATTCTTTCAAGAAGGGCAAAAGACACTTTTAATATACCCATCGCTCGGCCGTGCACAGTGTTTTCACCTCGAACGTCAGAACGCAAATGAGTGAATTTTTTATTTTACTCATGATGCATTCCGGTCGTAGTGGGACCACCGCCTGTGAACAATGTAAACTAGCCAATTCTTTTTACCTACACTAAAATGTCGACAATATACCTTAATACATGTATTAAAATTCGCGCAATAGCTACTAGAGTTCGAGCAAGAAGTAAAGATCAAGCTTGCATTCAAAATAAGTAGTTCTAGACCGTCTGTATAGGACCGGAAGTAATTAGTATGCAGGAGCGAATAGAGCGACGGAAGTAATTAGTATGCAGGAGTGTCGGAAGTAATTAGTATGCAGGAGCAAATAGAGCGGCGGAAGTAATTAGTATGCAGGAGTGTCGGAAGTAATGAATATGCAGGAGCGAATAGAGCGGCGGAAGTAATTAGTATGCAGGAGCGAAATGTGTTGGTGAAAACATGGGGGTATATTTGAATCGATCAGTAATACAAATTCATTTACACTTTGGTTTTCACAATGAACGGTTCAAGCAAAAAGCTTCGTCTGATAGAAATAATATACGCCAAGTCATTGCACATAACATTGAAAGGAAATTTAACCTGTTCTGTTGCGGGTGTAAAGTTCGTGACCAGGACTGCTTAATGTTGGATGAGTTTGAAAAATGGGAGATGTATGGTCTTGATGCTATAGAGGAAGCCGGAACTAATTACGCTGTCTGGCGTGAATTTACTAATGTTATTGAAATCCTTAATGTTCCGTTTGAGAAATATTTCACGGAACACTTGTTGAGCTTGGAAGAAAACCCTGATCTTATGCTGATAGAATCATTATTTCAAGAATACCGGGACAACAAGGCATTAATCGAAGTCCTGTGCGACTTGTCTGATCCTAAAGCAGATCCATTGGAACCTGTTGCAGAGTGCCTCTTCGGTAGCCCCCCTACCTTTATATTTTATGTTAGAGGAAAGGGGGAAAAGTTCCGGAGCAAGGAACAAGATGAACAAAAGGCATATCAGAACTATCTCAAAGATAAACTTCGAAAACATTTTAATAATTTGTAAAATATACTTTTAGTTAATAAACAATTTTAAAAAATATAATGTTTTTAAACTATGAATTGTTTAATGTTCTTCGCTCCAGTAGCTGAGATATCCCAAAATGGCTTGATATTCAGGAAGGTTTGACTTGAACTTCAGATCTTTTAGGAATTCGGCGGTTGTTTCGGGGTCTTTGGTTAGATTTTTGAAATGTTGAATGACATCTTCATGAGTGTCTAGTTTCATGACGCGTATAGCTTCGGTGAATTGTTTCGAAACTGTTTGATGTTCGATCACTCGCTTTACTGCTTCCGATCCATGCATTATCCATCCCTCTTCTTCGGACATCATGAGGCAGTCATGTCTTTTCTGGCTTGGATGATTGACTTCACAACCGCAGCATTTTTCTTTTCGAAGTTTATGGACTTGGCAGTCAACGGCTTTCGAAAAGATAGCATTCATTAGAGTACACAGATTTCTGATTTCCCAAGGCACAACTTCGTCTACATTCAAACGCTTTGCCCAGAATACTTGCTCACACGAGTTCATTTTGACTGTGTATAGTGACGATTTGCTTTATATAGTATGGTGTACGTACACGGTGTACGTACACCACTACGTGATGTTTATCTCTGATTGGTTGATGCGTACGAATATAAATTACTACACGGAAAAGCTGCTGCCTCTACAACTACAAACAATGGTACATTCTGGTTTTGTGGGGGAAAACCAAGCTGTGAGTTTTTTTGCCCAGACGAAAATTGTTATATGTATACGAGAGCTGTAGATGCGTTTCGTGCAAGTACTTTGATTTGGTGCCTGAGGAGCCTCGTCAAGATGTCAGTTTTGTGGAACCCCTTTTAAGTAAACCACCCGAAAAGCACGAGGAACATTACATGGCAAACAAATTCATAAACGATTTTGCTAATAGTTTGAACATTTAATATGTGTTATTTTTCAAAACCTATTATAAAGAATAGGGTTAATTAAAATGTTTATTCAAAATTGTGTAAAAGTCATTAAAAAAGTCTAAATGTATATTATCTATAAAGTCCAAACTGTTTGAATCATCTAGGAAATCCAGGTCAGCATTATTTACTGACGACTGTCCCAACGGTTGCCATTACCAGAAATGTGGGTCAAGATTGTGGACATGACAAAAAATTACGCAACAAAATGGCGTCCGATAATGCTGGGATTAGCATAGGCATATAAGAACTTTCTCAAATATGGCATGAATGAGCCGCAAATCACGCTTACTTGGCATCGTTTCACATGCTATGCTGATTCAGGAATCTATTAATTCTAACAACTATTTCTAGAATAAAATACACTCACTTCCCCAGATCACTATTGATATCACATTCACCAGCATAATAACTCCTTATATTGCATGTGAATCTGACAATACACGCCACAAACGCAGCCTGGTCTACGGAAATATATCCAGCGAAATATTGAGCTTGGCATCGCAATTGTTTCAATAATATTCAAAGTTTATATATTCGCCAACAAAAGTATCTAAATTCCGCAGGAAACTACTTCCAAAATCCTCTAAACTTAGCCATTTTATTCATCCATACATGCTACAAGAGGCCATTTTTATCAGCACAACTACGATAAAATTTTCATACATTGCGTTTCTTCTCCGCCATATTTGTTTTTAAATTAATTATGCTCTTCCCAGTCTCTTACCCTGCCCAGCACGCAAATTTATGCACATTTCTCAGCTAAATACATTTATTATACGTGCGTAAACGCGTCAAATTTGGAAAATACTTCTTCGATCGTGCCACAAATAGTGGTTCTGCTGTTGTAAAAAAATGTCAGACAATCTTATATTAGTTAATCGCAGTAAAATAAAATGGAATTTAGCGTCAGCACGGAGTTTCTTCTTCAATATATTAACAACACGATTTGTCTTTGAAGGCTATGAGCCGCCATTTTGTTTGTATTTTTTGAGTATTTTTTGATGAATCATCATTTATGCGTAAAACCGCTGGTTACGATTGCGGACGCTAAATGTCCCACATTTCTGGTAATGGCTGTGGGGTTTCTTGAGTTTCTTGCTGTGTCTCCTGGTTTTGGTCCTGCTTGCCTTCATAGA